ACCCAGGCTGGCGTACATGGTATTGGATCATATATCACTTAAGCTCAAACTCTGACTCAAAGAATCCTGTCAATGTCACGCCTCCTGAGTAGGCTGAACTTACATTGTGTCACATGGCCTGGCATTGTGGTGTACTATATACATACGCACAATACATATGATGTACAACCACACACTAATACATACACATATACACAATATATGTGGTATGTGTATGTATATGATGTGTGTTATGTGTATGTTCTATGGTTAGTATGTATAATACACATATATGTATACGAGTTACACATACATATATGTGTATAGGTGGCACACACATATATACAGTATATGTGGTATATATGATTACTGTGTATGCTATCTGTGTGTACATATATTGTGTGCGTATGTGTTGTATATATACTGGTTTTTGTTTGTTGGTTTTTTTTTGTGAGACAGACTTCTTGCTCCGTGCACTCCAAGGCTGGAGTGCGAGTTTGCGACCTCAAGCATCCACTGCACCCTCCCCTCCATGCCGTTGTAAGCATCTATTTTTTTTTTTTTTTTACAGTTTTAAGAAAATTTAATAAAGTGAAAACAGGAAGCTCCCATACAAAGCGGATGGGGACCAAAGAAGGTTGGCATTGCCGGCTTCGAATGCCTGGGTTTATATCCTGATTCATTGTCCCCCTTCCGCTGTGCTCTCTAGAGCAGTAGATATTGGCTGTTCTTTACCTCCCTGTTTTTGCTATTATGCATTTTAGTGAGCTCTGTTTACTACCTGATTGGTTGGCGTGTGACGCTAAATTGCTAAGCCCTGGTGTCCCTTAAAGGATACGCGGCGTCTACTTCCCCAGCTAGCGTCTACGGAATTCTTGTTCGGCGTAGTAGATCCAGCTAGTCCTGTTCTCAGTACCCCTCCTCACGCGAAACACCCACTGCCTTTTGGGGAGGTTGGCCGAAACCCGCTGCTAACTGCCTTCCTGCTGAATTAGGGCGGTCGCGTAGTAGCGGGTTGTTGCGGTTGAGATTTCCTTGAGGGAGGGCGTGTCATTCACTTCAATGCTCATCTAACATCAAGCAATGGGCCCAGCAGGCCACTCCAGGGTCCCATGCGCGCTTAGCGTCTTACGTCCATACGACGCGCATCTGCGGCGCTCTAACTTTGAAGAAGCCCAATCCTGTAATCTTCTAATACGCTTGATTTGGCAAAAGACAAACTTAACAAGGAGGTTAAAGATATAGGGATTGAAATGTATGGCCTGCAGTGCAGGGGATTATTTCTTTGGCACACTTTACAGGCCCTGACTATCTGCTTGATAGTTTTGAAAAGGCCTGGTCCGGTAAATAATGATTTGGCCATCTGATGGGTGTTATCAATGCCTAAGTGAAAGGTTTGGTGAAGGGTTTTAAGTAATTTCCATTGGTTAGCTGCAAGCAAACGTATTTTTCCTTCTTCGGTGGCTAGCCATCCTGGGGGGAGGAAACTATGTTCTTGTGAGGTTCCCCATTCCATTTCTTCTTTTGAGTAATGGGGCTTGGTTTCCCAGAGGGGATTACCCCATACTAGGGGTCTTTCTATAAGCATTTCTGATGGAGGGTCCTGCCTTGCAGCTCTTTTGGCTTCAATATCCGCTTGGCGCTTCTCTTCTATTTCCCTTTCCTTTCCTTTCCTTTCTGATGACCCTGGCAGTGTAAGATTGCCACCTCTTTAGGTTTCTGTACAGCCAATAATAATATCCTAATGGTTTCCTGATGTTTGATTGGTGTTCCCTCGGAAGTTAGGAATTCCCTTTCCCTCCATATTGCTGCATGGGCATGGAGGACTAGGTAAGCATACTTAAGAGTCTGTATATATATTTACCCTTTTTCCTTCTCCTAATTCTAGTGCACAAATGAGGGCTATTAGTTCTGCCAGCTGAGCACTAGTTCCTGGAGTGAGGGGATTACTTTCAAGTATTCCATTATCATTGACCACTGCATACCTGCTTTTCGAAGTCCTTTTTCTACAAAGGAACTTCCATCAGTATACAAGTTGATGTCGGGATCAATCAAGGGAACCTCTAAAAGGTCCCCTTGAGTGGCGTAGGTTTGAGCAATTACTTGATGACAGTTATGTTCTATCTTTTCTTCGTCTGGAAGAAATGTGGCGGGGTTAAGAGTTGCACAAGTGCGCAGTCACAGCACTGGCCCTTCAAGTAATAGAGCCTGATATTTAAGTAAATGGTTGTCTGACAGCCACAAGTCTCCTTTAGCAGTGAGTATGCCGTTCACATCATGAGATGTCCACACAGTAAGATATCTTCCCTGTGTTATTTTAAATGCTTCAGATACTAAAACTGCTACTGCTGCCACTACCCGTAAACAGTGAGGCCAACCCTTTGCCACTACATCAGTTTTCTTACTCAGGTATGCCATGGGTTGCAAGCTCATCCCTCGGACCTGTGTAAGGACTCCTAGAGCTATTCCTGTTTTTTCCGTGACATATACGAAGTCTTGCCCCGTTGGCAAGCTTAACACTGGGGCTTGGGTTAGGGCCTTCTTTAGGGCCTAGAAAGCCGCTTCTGCTTCAGGTGTCCATCTTACTAAATGGGTATTGGCTTTCTGAGTTTCTTTAATTAATGTATATAATGGTCTGGCTATTTCGCCATACCTGGGAATCCATATTTGGCAGAAGCCTATTATCCAAGGAACCCTCTTAGTTGCTTTAGGGTTTTGGGATGAGGATAAGCCAGTATGGGCTGGATACGTTCCTCACTGAGGACCCTGGTGCCTTTGGATAATTTTAGCCCTAAGTATTTAGGCTGCTGTGAGCAGAGCTGAGCCTTTGGTTTGGAAACCTTGTAGCCACAGGTAGCGAGGAAATTTAAGAGCGCTTGGGTGGCTTGATGGCACAAGGTTTCTGAACGGGCAGCTAAAAGTAAATCATCCACATACCGAAGGATAAGAGTGTCCAGGTGTGAGAACTGGCTCAAGTCTTGGGCTAATGCCTGGACAAATAGATGGGGGCTATCACTGAACCCTTGGGGTAAAACAGTCCAGGTGAGTTGAGACGTAGAGTTCAAAGGATCTTCAAAGGCAAACAAGAATTGAGAGTCAGGATATACAGGGATGCAGAAAAAGGCATCCTTAAGGTCCAGGACTGTAAACCACTCTGCTTCCTCTGGTATTTGGGAAAGCAGAGTATAAGGGTTAGGTACAGCTGGGTATAGAGGGACAATGACCTCACTGATAATCCTGAGATCTTGCACTAACCTCCACTGTCGTTTCTGTACTCCTAAAATTGGAGTATTGCAGGGGCTATTGCATGGTTTTACTAGGCCTTGGGCTTTAAGTCCTTGACAATTTTTTTGAGTCCTTGTTGGGCGTCGGGTCTAAGGGGGTACTGCCTTTGGTAGGGAAAGGAGGCAGAATCCTTTAGTTTAATTTGAACAGGATGGGCATTTTTTGCTCGTCCATAGTGTCCTTCTGTTGCCCAGACTTCAGGATTAATTTCTTCCTCAAGCAGGGGACAACAAACGGGTGTTCCTTTTCCTATGTTTAGGTGTATAATGGCCCCTGCTTTTGCTAGAATCTCTCTCCCTAACAAGGGAGTGGGGCTTTCAGGCATAATTAGAAAAGCATGTGAAAAGAGTAAAGTTCTCCAGTCACAACTTAGTGGCTGGGAGAAGTATCTAGTGACTGGCTGTCCTAGGACCCCTCAGATAGTGACAGATCTGGAGGACAGTTGTCTGGGACAGGAGAGTAAGACTGAGAAGTCCGCACCAGTGTCCAGGAGACAGTTAACCTCCTGGCCCTCAATGGTTAAGCATACCCGGGGTTCTGTGAGGGTGATGGCATGGGCTGGCACTTGCCCTGGGCACCCTCAGTCCTGCTGGATCATCTGGTTAGTGGCTTCTGACTCAGAGGACCTTTGTCCCCTGGGGCAGTGGGCCTTCCAGTGATTCCCTTGACATAAGGGGCATGGACGAGGGGGCGGCTTATTTCTATGTGGACAATCTTTTATAAAATGTCCTTGTAGACTGCACTGGAAGCAAGCCCTATTAGGCATTCAATTTCCCTAGGCTTTCTGTGTTCCAGAGCCTCCAAAGTCCGCTTGCCTGAGGGCCATGACTAAAGCAGTGGCCTTTTTTTTCATCCCGTTTATCCAGTTCTGCCTGCTCCTCCTGATCTCTATTATAAGAAACCGAGGTTGCCAAGTTCAATAGGGTTTCTAAGTTTTTCGAAGTTTTTTCTAATGTCTGCAGCTGACTGAGTGATAAACCTATCCTTTAAGATTAGTTGGCCTTCAATAGAGTCAGGTGACAGAGAGGTATGCTTACTCAATGCCTCCCTTAGTCTCTCCAGAAAGGCAGTAGGATTTTCTTCCCTTCCCTGTGTTATAGTGGACATCATTGAATAATTCACAGGCTTCTTCCTAGTTTTCCTTAGTCCTTCTAGCACGAAAGTTAGCGAATGTCTGCAGCACCAAGCTCCATGTTCTGATTCTGTGTCCCAGTGAGGGTCTACACTGGGAACTGCCTGCTGGCCTGTGGGGAATCATTCTCTTTCCTCTGTTGTCATCCTATCATTGACCTGACTGGGATACCAGAGATCGCCAAACTCTCAGGCTACAGTTATGGCAGCACTTCTCTCATTTGGGGTTAGTGTCTGATTTAGCAGTAACATTGTATCTCTCCATGTCAGATCAAAGGATTGTCCTAACCCTTGTAAAACATCAATATGGCCATCACGGTTATCTGAGAATTTACCTAGGTCTATTTTAATTTGCTTCAAATCTGAGAGAGAAAAAGGTACGTACACTCTGGCTGGGCCAAATTCTCCTCCTCCCACCGCTTGGAGGGGGCATAATTGGGGAGTATTGGCACTCTTTGGTTCATTGTTTATCCCTTTGTCTATCTCCTTTTGGACCGTTTGGGTTGAAGGGGATTCCTTATTAGTTGGGGAAGGAGTTGGGGGGACGCCGGGTAGGGAGGTAGACTCTAAGGGCTTCCTATAGGGTATAAATCACACTTTTTACATAATTGCGAGTTGTCTCTTAATGAAAAGAAAGTTTGTACATGTGGCACTTCACTCCATTTGCCTTCTTTTCTACGAAAGAGGTCTAGGTGTAAGATGGTGTTATAATTTATACTTCCTTCAGGAGGCCAGGTTTCTCCCCCTTGAAGATGATCTCGTGGCCAGGCGGTACTGCAGAAAAATATAAATCATTTCTTTCTTAGTGTCTGAGAGTCAAATTGGTCCCAATTCTCCAGAATATATCTTAGGGGCGTTTTTGCCTTATGGGGAACGTTTCCCATTGCTTTGGAGGTCCCTTCATGGTCGCCAAATGTTACCGGGGGGCCCTTGCTCCCAGAGCTCCCAAGATGGCGGTGGGCTGCTTCCAAGATAGTGGCAAGCCTTGTGTTTTCTGACCTGGAGTTCTTGGCCTCACAGATTCCAAGGAATGGAATCTTGGGCCATGCTGTGAGTGTTATAGCTCTATTAGAAGCCATGGGTCACGGAAGAGAACTGTGGAACCCAGTGACTAGTGTTCAGGTCAATTAGGACGAACCTGGGCACTTAGTCGTGCAGGAACAATGGCAAGCCTTTAGCCCGATTGGGAGCGGCAATGGGCACCTCGCTGGATCAGGAGCACAGCGGACACCCTGCTGGATCCAGAGGGATGGAAGTCAGCGGCAGGTCTGTGATGGCAGCAAACAGCAGTGGTGGACATGGAAGAGTGCAGCTGCAAGATTTAATAGAGTGAAAACAGAGCTCCCATACAAAGGGAGGGAACCCAAAGAGGGTAGTCCGTGTTTAACCAATTCTTGTGCCTCAGCCTCCTGAGTAGCTGGGATTACAGGCATGTGCCACTATGCCTGGCTAATTTTTGTAATTTTAGTAGAGACAGGGTTTCGCTATGTTGGCCAGGATGGTCTTGAACTCCTGGCCTCAAGAGATCCACCCACTCTTGGCCTCCCAAAGTGCTGGGATTGTAGGCATGAGCCACCACACCTGACTGATTTTTTTATAGAGACAAACTCTCACTGTGTTGCTCAGGCTGGTCTCAAACTCCTGGCCTCAAGTGACCCTCCTGCCTCAGCCCCTCAAAGCACTGAGATTACAGGTGTGAGCCCCTCTGCCTACCCCTATAACTCTTATTATTGCAGCTAATATGGTGGACTTGAATCTTACTAAGGGATTATATTTTAAAGTTGGCAATTATGATAAAATTTGCAAATAGTTCAAATCCTTTAAAATGATCCTTTTTTTTTTTTTTTTTTTAAATGCAACAGTTTCACTCTTGTCGCCCAGGCTGGAGGTCAGTGGCACAATCTTGGCTCACTGCAACCTCTGCCTCCCACGTTCAAGCTATTCTCCTGCCTCAGCCTCCCGAGTAGCTGGGATTACAGGTGCCTGCTACCACGCCCAGCTAATTTTGGTATTTTTAGTAGATGTGGAGTTTCACCATGTTTGCCAGGCTGGTCTCGAACTCCTGACTTCAGGTGATAGGCCCGCCTTGGCCTCCCAAAATGTTGGGATTACAGGCATGAGCCACCGCTCCTGGCCAAGATGATCCCTTTAATGTTAGAACATAATGATTATTCTTGGGCCCGTCTCTATTGAAGATACAAAAATTAGTCAGGCGTGGTGGCACACGCCTGTAATCCCAGCTACTCGGGAGGCTGAGGCACGGAGAATCGCTTGAACCTGGGAGGCAGTGAGCCGAGATCAAGCCACTGCACTCCAGCCTGGGCAACAGAGCGAGACTCCATCTAAACAAATAAAAAATTAAAAAAAGAACATAAGTGGTTATTCTTGATTGAGAACCAGATTAATTAGTTGCCTTGCATTTAGGGTGTATATTATATGAAAAAATGCATACTGTAGTTCTAAACACTAAAAATACACTCAGTGAGTCAAAGGTTCATATTGGAAGCAGCAACTATGAAATTGACATAGAAGGAATAGTAGATACTTGTCTGCTGTCTCATGTACAATCCAGGGCATATGTTCCTTGAATGGAATGACTGAATTGCCAGGCACAGTGGCTCACACCTGTAATCTCAACATGTTGGGAGGCCAAGATAGGAGGATTGCTTGAGCCTAGGAGTTCAAGACAAGCCTGGGCAATAGAGAAAGACCACGTCGCTACAGAAAGTTAAACAATTAGCCAGGCACGGGGGCATGCATCTGTATTCCCAGCTACTTGGGAGGCTGAGGTGGGAGGATCATTTGAGCCTGGGAGGTTGAGGCTGCGGTGAGCCCTGATGGCACCACTGCCCTCCAGCCTCAGTGACAGAGAGTGAGACCCTGTCTCAAAAACAAAAAACAATGACTGAATTACTCTATTTCCATAGTTCTTACTCTCTCCTTCTCTGGACCATATATATAGCTGAATCCCCAAAAGGTAAAGGCCCCTATAATATGGCTCCCTTATATATATTTTGCAAATTAGACATAGTATCTAATGTGGTTGAGTCCCCAATATTTATTCTACAGCTCATGATTTGCCTAACTAGTCATGGTTTAGTTTAGTAATGGATTACTTAGCGTGATTACTTAGTGTGAAGGCCAAGGTGTTGTAATAGAAGTCTCAAAATTCAGTAGCATAAAGAAGATGGAAGTGTCTTTCTCTAATAAATTATTGTGGCCAGTCCAAACTTTTGGTGGGGTGAGAGAGATGTGAATAGCACAGGCTCATTTAGGGACCTTGGTTTTTTCCTTTTTATTGCTCTACCATCTCCTAGAACATTTGAATTGTAGGAACCAGTTGTAGGCATGGCAGGGCTCTAACTTGCAAGGAAGAGGAAAAGAAGAAAAGCTCATGCCAAACCTAGATATGAAATCGTTTCTTCTGCTCACATTCCATTGAATTTTATATTAGTGACAGCACAGTCACATGACCACACTTAACTGCAAGAAGGACAGAAAACGGAGTGTCTAGCTTATCAGCTATGTGCCCCAGAAAATAGGCAGAATAGCTTTTGAAAGAAAAACTAGTCATCTGCCATTATGAGATGGGAGGGTAAGTTGGCTAGCAGACTTTTGGAAAAGATTTCCATTGTCCTAAACTAATAAAGAAACATATAATACTAGACCAAAAGTTTGTTAATATTTTGATAATTCCACTTGTAAGAAATGTTTCCTCTATAATCTTACATATCTTCTTTTGTATATTCTAAAACATTATTCTGAGAAGGGGACCATCGGCCTCAATAGACTGCCAGAGGGGCCTGTAGCACAAAAACAGGCCTCTGCCCTGGCAGAGGCAGCAAGATTATTTAAGAGCCTGTTAATTCAGACAAGCAATAATGACAATGTGACTCAGGCAGTGTCCACAGGGGATAGATTCCAGAGATCCTTTAACCTTCACTCACAGAATCTGCTTTTATCAGCAATACAGCAAGATGATAGCATTGCTACTACCCATTTGTGCTCACTTAATTTTGGCAGAAGGAAATACTTCTTTGGAAGTGTAGTTTAGGAATGTTTTCTTTTTAAAGTTAACATGAAATAGGGAGAAACGTTCAAGACAGATAGGATGCCATCTTGTTGCTTAGCCGGCATAATGGATATTAGCTGGACATTTTTCCATAATTAATAGCTTCTCCCACAGAAAAAACAGTAAGCTTTTACCACCTTAGGTCGTGTGACAGCCTCTTAAAGTAGAGGAACAGAATCAGACACTCAATAGGAACAAGAGCCTAGTCATTTGCCCTGAGGGATTGGAAACAGCACAGGAATTGCTAGTGGCAGGTTGAGGATGCCTCATTAACAGTCTCAGGCTCCAATCCCAGGCCTCTGCACAAAATTGTGAGTAATCACTGCCAATGCTTGGATCCACAGGCCTTTGCAGTTATCTTTCATTGCTTTGTACATGACACTGTGAGCCTTCAGTAAAGCAGCAGCAGCCCAATTCATCACTTGAGTTCCATTGATCCAGCCACTCCAATGGGCTGTGGCTGTCTCTAGTCTAATCTCCAGAGGATTATAGGTCTGCAGTCTCCTATGACCTTACACTTGGATTTCCAGCAGTCAGTGGCCTTGTTTCATTTTACTAGAATGTGAGCTCTGGGTGAGAGAGCGAGACTCCATCTAAAAAAAAAAAAAAATTAAATAAATAAAATTGCACATGTAAATATGTAAGACATTATTATTACAGGATTTAACGAAAACTCATATTCATCCTCCCCATACGTTTCTTCTTTTTTTTTTTTTTTTTTTGAGACAGAGTTTCGCTCTTGTCGCCCAGCTGGAATGCAGTGGCACGATCTCAGCTCACTGCAACCTCCACCTTCCGGGTTCAAGCAATTCTCCTGCCTCAGCCTCCTGAGTAGCTGGAATTACAGGCACACACCACCACATCTGGCTAATTTTTGTATTTTTAGTAGAGACAGGGTTTCACCATGTTAGCCAGGCTGGTCTTGAACTCCTGACCTCAGGTAATCCACCCTCCTTGGCCTCCCAAAGTGCTGGGATTACAGGCGTGAGCCACTGCGCTTGGTCCCCATACCTTTCATAAATATATACATTTTAGTCCTATCTCCATGACGCCTCATCTTCCTGAACTGGAAAACCCTTCTTTGGCCCATTTGTTATCTCTTTGAGAATTTCAACAGCTCTTTTCCTATACCATCACTACCATTAGAATGTACCCCTTCTACAACCACTGCTTCAAGGCCTATTCATGTTCATACTTTGAGACCCAGTTAAAACAGCATTGTCTTCGATGACAGTTTCCCATCTGGGTTTATTCACTCTGTCTTCTGAGATCCTCAACTCCATTTCTTCTCATCCTACTATAAATATTTGCACATTTTCACTAACCTTACCTGAGTGAAACTCCATGGAACATTTGGTTCATCTCAGTATTTCTATTGCTTAGAAATACTGAGACACGGCACAGAGTTAAGTTCTCAGTAAATGCTAGATGAATGAATGAAAGGATAGAGGTATATGGGTCAGGAAAGGAATGCTTTGTCTCTGAGAGCTTCAGTGCTAAAAGCATTGTCCTTGTGCAGATGCCTACCAGGCGGAGACCGGTAGGTTGGGCTGGTAGTTCCCAAACTCTAACTCCCATATCCCCTCTGCTGACGTAGAGGTAGTTCAAGAAGCCACCATCCTTTAATGCTCAATTCATCTTTATTAAACACTTCACCTTAAATGTGCCTGGAAGACTGGGAAGACTTTTCAGAGTGATAGGTAGATTTTAAAGCATAAAAAGAAGTTTCCTGGAGTTAGCTGGGAAGGTTAGGAAGTTCAGAAAAAAGTAACAATATAGAGATTCTTAGGAAATTTTTCCAAAGTCAAAATTTTAGCATGCTATGCAAGTGCTTTCTTTTCCCACCTCAGCTGTCACTCTACATACAAGTTGTACTGAATTAACTGTTCTTCTAGTCTTTTTCTTTCCTCTGAGCCTTTTTTTTTTTTTGAGCACAGAGTCTCACTCTGTTGCCCAGGCTGGAGTGCAGTGCAAGATCTCAGCTCACTGCAAGCTCCATCTCCTGGATTCACACCATTTTCCTGTCTCAGCCTCCCAACGTAGCTGGGAACTACAGGTGCCCGCTACCACGCCAGCTAATTTTTTTTTTTTTTTTTTTTTGAGACGGAGTCCTCGCTCTGTCGCCCGGGCTGGAAGTGCAATGGCGGATCTCAGCTCACCTGCAAGCTCCGCTCCCGCGGTTTACGGCCACTCTCCTGCTCAGCCTCCCG